TTTCCCGAGTTGAAAAAGTCGGACACAACGCACTCAAGCACATAACATACACACAAATATACATATACACATACATAGACAGAGACGTAGCAATATAAGTTTTGTTTTGTTGCTGCACAGCACAAAACGCATAAAAAACAATTCAAAGTTCATGAAAGTCATACTTTAAGCTTATTGATCATGGATTCTTCAGCATCTTTAGATAGCGAAGCACTGCTAATTAAACGATTGGACAGCATTCTCGAATAGAACTGAAACGGCGATAGCAAAATTAAAACTCCTGGACAGTTCTAACTGTTGCATTCCAGACTGCTTGCGTGTCTTCGTCCTTTTTCCCACTGGTGACTACGCTTTCTGGTGCTTTTAGTGGTGGAAGGTGGCGTTGTTGCTGGCGCTGTGTCGATCTTGCAAAATTTTTTTGTTGAATTTTCTAATTTCCCCAAGAAATACCTCGTACATAAAGCCATTTTTCTGAATAGAACAGCGCCTTTTGTAGCAGAATCACCTCCTTAGTGCACTGCGTTGGGAGGGGTTTTACGAAATCCACCTCACTTTATGAAATTCACGGGAAATGATACGGCAGTGCAATTATTTCGACCCACTCCCTACTTTTTAGGATGTGAAAATCAACACAGATTCTGATATCACGAAAGGAAGATGAATCAAGAAAAAAGTTGTTTGCCGTCCGCCTCCGCCTCACTGTAAATCATTCATAGCAATTCACAAAGCAAAATAATATACCCTTTGAAAGACATCTTTGTCTTCAATGTATCTGAAAATGATAATAGCCTCGGCCAGCTTCGCATCGAGTTCACTATCACTCAGACCTTTGCCAGATTTGCGCAGCAACATATCCGTATAGCGCGAAAGCTAGAAAAAATAATTTTGAAACAGTTTTTTTAAAACTGTAAAAAAAAAACAAGCAACAGCCTTACGTCATAACAAGGAAACAAGGAGGAAGAAAAGAAAGTCCGCTTGCTCCATTCACCGCTGTACTTGGCATTATGTCGAAGATGGGATCAAAAATTTAGACAAAAGACCTGGAACTTCATCAGACGTAAAATTCCATCAAAAACGAGCGAGAAGGCTGCGAAATGCAAAACAACGATAAAAGGCAAAAAATGAACCTGAAAGAGCTAAACTCTGCACTACGTACTGCAAAATGTTATGTTTGAGCGGACGAATAAGCTTTAAAAATAATGACTTTCTTCAGAAAAAAAGCACTGAAAACTAGCATCACAGCCATTCAAAACATTTAAGGGTAATGAAAGGTCCTAGACATATTCTGAAGTGACCGCACTGCATAATGCCAAACAACAATCAGATAACAACACAGTACAATCGTTAAGAGTCAATAAGGAACAAACTGATCAGTCTGGTTCCCCGGCATATGTCAGCACCAGTTTTTTGGTATATTAAACCAACAGATCGTAAATGAACTGGTCCTACGAGTGGTAAATTACCGCTTTGATCCAGAAAATGATGCTACTTGTCAGCTAGTCTAAGTGGATCACCCGATCCCTCAAAACTTTCAGAATTATTCAAATGTGTTCTACAGACAACAGAATTAAACCGGACAGCAGCAGTCTTTCAATGCAACAACAAACACGAGATAAAATGCATGGGCAACAATTCAATCAGCCATCGAAACCGCAGCTACTTCACTCCAGTACAAATGACTTACACGTTCTGATGCTTTTGGTATCGCACGCGGCTCCTCACGATAATTTACGATTGTTTGAAGCGCCTGTAAGGAAACAATGACAGAACTGCAAAAAAAAAAAAAAATTGAACGTATTTATGGCTTTCTCGAGGATTCGAATCAAAAGGACCGTATGACCCTCCAATATCCCTGTGTTGAAGGCCTGGTCAACGGATGCGAAACGTGGTCACTGACGAAAACTGAAGAGTGAACACAAGCTGTAATGGATACTGCAGCTGATCGAAAGATGCTCGCAATGCCTTTTCGTGATCATACGGTAGGCAGGACAAATTGCTTCTTTTGCTGACAACCATCAATATTAGAATGTTACGGCGAAAAAAAAAAAACTCGTGTGGTTACCGGAAAAATAATACACACACAAGTATTCGAGATAATTTTGCGTGTAATTTGAACATTTATATTTCAGTGCCACAAACGACACTTCTAAAGAATATGAAAAACACCCCAAACGATTCATCACGATAGAGCAGACATTCAAAAAAGCAAAAAATCTTGGGGGATTCAGTCCTGCTGTGGTTGTTTCATGGAAACGAGACTGCTGTGCTTGGCCAGGTTCGACTTTTTCCAACTGTTAGGTACTTTCCTTTCTATCAACTGACGGATATATGCACGACGGAAATGCACCTTGCAAAGTCTTGCAAAAAATTAGCGATTGTTAAGCAAACCTTATCTAAAGCACTAGTGAAATCACCATCATCATAAAACACATTCGAAACCATTGACGAAAACTTCTTATACACCTGAAAATGCGTGTGACAATCAGTC